ATTTGATGGGACACTGACGGGTCTTTAATAAAAAATTATCTTATCTTAATAGCTTTATATTTATGCGCCTATACGGCACGGTCCCAACAAATTCGACATTTGGCCAATTGGTTAAATGCAGAAAATTTGGAGAGTAAATGTCGGTATGAACGACCATATACATATTAGACTTCAAAAACCGGGCTAGGCAAAGAAGGCAACGTTTTTCACGGCCGTCAGTTATATGTCCTTTTTATATGATACTTCTGACAATAATACCCACAAATTCCAAACTGGCGGTTCTTGTAGATAATGATAAGTCATGAACGAAACAGTGAAAAAAACTCACTAAATTAGAAGTAAAGGGGAAGTTCAGGGAACCCGAATTTTCCGAAAATTGTCAAGGGAAAACTACTTTGCTAAGGGTTATGAGGGAACAGGGCAGGCTCTTTCTGGGAGTAGGATGAATCTGTAAAAGAAAATAGGTAACTGAGTACGAAGCGTCATTGTAGTGCACTAGGGATGTCCGGTGACGGAAGACCCGAGGTGAGGCCGGCAGTGGGGGTAGGGCCACGACGTCCCAGCGACCAGAACGCCATCCTGGTCTGGGTTAACAGAGAGCGAGACCGATTAATTTTCTCAGCGGTTGGTCAGACAGGGCATCGTTTTGGTCTAACAAATCTATCATGTGGCCCGTTGTAAGGGACAACACGTGCTGCACACAACCTGCTTCGCTCACAATGGACCACGTTTTTCGCAGAGGCAGATGGTGGATCGGTTCTATCCTAGTCGGGGAACCATACAGACCATATTAAGGAGCATCTGACCCTAACCTTCAGTCCAGCAGTCAGTCACTCAAAACAAAGGACACAGATTGCTAAGTCTATGCTATATCGTTAGTTAGCGAAATTCCAAGCCGCGTCCATTAGTGCGTCGTCATATATTCAATCGCATTGAACTTATCATAGTGGTGAATGAGCTGAAGTGCCGTGGGGATAAAGACTTCAGATTCGGCCTCACTCTCTCTTATCCATCCTGTACCCCAGTCGACTGTTTGAACCTGTCAGACATCTGGTGTTGGAATTAGGCTCCATTCCAATAGTCACTGTGAATGCTTCTGAGACTACCCCATTTCCTGTGACGCACGCCATCATTCCGTCTCATCGTGTGAGTGAGCACTCGGAACATCCGGATTTCAACAGGCTTGTCGCGGTTCGCAGTTTTAAAGGATTTTTCGACTTGAAGAGGTTGTTTTGCATTTTCTGGTACAGTTCTTCCTTATGCATATGTTTCCAATAATAATGACTGACTTCACCACAAAATGTTACCTAAGATTGCTTTGATGGGACCCCGACGGGTCTTTAATAAAAATTATCTATCTATCTATCTATAGGGAATAAAGATGTCGTCAACACCATGGTAGGCAGTTGGTACGCATAGGGACTCGGAAATTACGAAAATGTCAACTATGATTTGAAAAGAAAGTGCAGATTTCCATAAAAAATAACGCAAGTGTGACCAAAATAACACAAGAAATGTGCCTCGACATGCAAAATTTATGCATATGAGATAGTGCTCATTATTCACACTGGCCTTGTATGTAGACAAAAAACGTTAATAAATCTGGATACATGAGTTGGTATTAGGACCGACGGATTCTAGACTGACATATGGTTTTCTTGAAGTTTTATATATTTGCGCATTTATCTGTGCGAAAAGCCCAAATACTTAACTAATATTCTTAACTTTGTGCCAGTTATTTCGACACTGAAATTCGTTTGGTCTCGTGTTTATGTGCGCACGTATTGCTAAAGGCGCGAGACTCGACTTTTTTGCCTGCAGGAATTATGTGAGTTGGGCAGATGCGTTCATAGCATCCTGAGAATGCAATAAGTTTCTAAATTTTTATATTTCTAGCCATGTACGTATAACACATCCATACAACGACCCGGATATGATAAAGTCCAAGAATTGTTTGCAAAAGTATAAGGACAGACTGACCGACAGGAGCTGCGCTCACAAATCAGCAGTTTGGATGAAATTTTTCTCGCCTTACTGCATATTAGGTTGTAAAAAATTACAATTCTCGCACTCGTACGTACGGTCTGACTCCAGTGAAAGCGTCATAGATTCAGCCTAAGGATAAATGTGGCGCACTGCACTTTTGCGGCCAAAGCGGTACTGTCCAGTGCGCTGTGAGGTAGATCGGCGGCCATGAAGGATGCGAGTCCGATCGACTCTTTCTTCGGCTCGTTCGGATTTGAAGTCGTATAACGTGCTAAAGCGCAGTGAAATTCGAACTCATTTAACTAATGGGGTGAAGGTAAAATATGATATGCATCAATATAGTTCAAGTTGAGATATCCGGAGGAATTAGTGTGCCGGAATGCCCACGTGTTCAACAGCAACTTCGATTACCCCAATGAAGGGTGTCGTTATTTTCGAAGTAATAATGTTAATGGGAAACGATGATTCCGAAACGTGGTGCGTTTTGCCTATCCAAATATTTCAGGTCGAATTTCGGCGCAAAACTCGAGCATTTGCTCTCCTCGAGAGCTGAGATTATCAGTAGAATGCACCGACCCCCGCCCGCCGAGGGAAATGACTTGGAAGATCTATTAGGGGAGGAACCTCTTCCCCCTATTCCACTTCCTTCACCGAATGTCCATGTATGGTCCGATGAAAAGGCGGCCGCTTATTGCGCCCTTACCCCTCCCTTGGAAACATTTATGGTGGTGCCAGATGAAATTCGTCGTGATCAATTTTTCCATGTAAGTCCAAGTTTTTCCTTTGAACGCTTTACACTATGCTATTATCTGAGTTTTTCTCGTTTATTTCGACTAACCAGCCATATTCGGTAACTAAGTACCAAGTCCGTTCGCGACTCATAGTTGCTACTCTAGAGCACGTTAACAATGCAAAAAACATTCATATTCAAGCTCAATAATCAAGATTTCCGACCGACAGTGTAGTTTTTGCGTCTGTGCAGTAGAGTATCTGCGTTTGGACTACCCAGATAAGCATGCCCAACAAAGATGCAGCCTTGCTGTACCCTCACATACTTCGGGGCCCTGGAGGAGTGTAGTATTTCCTTGTTCCACACTGTACCAACATTGTATATGGCTCTCGTATGGGACCTGAACGGAACTCGACTTTTCAGTATCGGTTTTGGGCTTAGTCCAGCCATCACAAAGTGTTAATTCGTGTTACTAGTGCATTATCTACGCTGTTTTGTGTTTGCTTCAGACGGCCCGCCAAGACGACATGCTGATAGGATATGTCAGCGCTATTCAAGATTCAGGCTTGATAATAACCTTGCTGGCCTATGACCAGGGACCAAGGAGGGACTTCGATCATCTAAAGTTGACGGTACGTCAGGTGTTTCTTGCTTAAATATTTTTTTCGCCCTTACTCACTCATACTTTTCCACAATAGTCATGAAGCAAACAATACAATGTCACTCTAAAGAATTTACTCACTCATTTCCTGAACCAACGTCTCGTAGTCCGTCTTTGCTGCACGTCATCGCATGTGTTTTTTTTAAGCAATGGCAAACTTTTTGTTATGGTTTCGTGGTTTCCCACACCACTGATTAACAATTTCGAATGAAGTTTCCTGTTTACTGAACACTATGCGCATCCAAGCAGTTCCCCAATAATTACTGACCTCCCTGAGTACCCGTAATTTTCAGGCTGCGGTTTTGCAAAACCTTTCTTTGCTCACATGGTCTACTGGTTTTTACTGTGTTGTCTCTAAGAGGTCTTCACGCTTCTGGTTCTGCGGTAATTTTGATCGCACTCTACCATGTTTGTACTGTCATTTGTAGGGGTTCTGTCCGGTTAGGCAGTTGCCAAGGTATGCTGCCCATGGGAATGCTTTGGATGCTTTCCAGATTGGCGACAAGGTCCGAGGTAAGTGTACGGACACTCGGTATTTCCTTTTTTACACCTCCGTCTTTATCACTATGCACTCGGCCACATCACGGTTCTCTTCAGCCTTTTGACTTGTTTATGGCAAACAAGCATGCTTTATTCCCTGACTTCAGATTGATGCTCTCATTCATCCTTTTTCCGTTGTAGCCTTCATCCTAGATGTCCATCACTCCGGTCGTCTTATTTTAAGCATGAATCCGAAGGCCATGAATCGTGATCTGTACGGTGACTTGAAGCTCGTAAGTTTATTCCTTTTCCTCGAAACCCGCATTCTTGTTGTCTTCCTCTTGAAGGGAACCATCAATTTTCCTCTTAGTCCGACAGCTTTCCGAATGTGCACCTCGATTTATGTTCCGTATTGCCCGTCAGAATAGCTGTGAGCTTGGTTATGTTTGCGGTATCTGACGTTTTCGTACTTGGGTTGGCGTGAAGTCGCATGCCGCTTGATAAACATATTTCAACTGAGACTCGTGTCCTTTACCGATACCCAACTTTCAGTGATTTGATTGACCTTAAATACACTGTTGGATACAGGCAAGCAAATGTGGTGCCACAACCACCAAGGCCATGCGTTACAAAATACAGCCCCTAAATTACACAACTAATAGTCTAGGTGACTAGGAAACTGATTGGGCAGTACTGTGAAAGACAAGATACACACAGAATGGACAATCGGTCCGGTGATGATCACTGATATATGGGCCGTCACTCCTAATGCCCCATCTAACTTCGCGGTCGCGAAACTGCTACATTCTTGTTGCCACTGTCGTTATCTGACCACTTTATTTTTGGATAGGTCGGGTTGGACGGTTGGCAGGAACCTGAAAACTAGTTAGGTTAGTCGCGTATAGTGGCATTTTCGAAGCATGTATGGACCTGTCTCTCAGCACTACGGCGCGATCATTCGATAGTCCGAACGTCTGAACTTTAGAAATTGATTCGTCCCTGACCCCATCTTTTGTGGGGAATTCATCCGACCCGAGCGTTAGCACTAGCGTGCGTGTTACAGACTTTTCCACCCTTAACAGATATTCCAGCCAGACTTAACTACATTCTTTTCTACAAATAAGTAATTGATCAAGCTCCCATGTAAAACAGCGTTTTGGTCATATCGATACTGGGGCCTTATGCCCAAACCCCACTTGTGCGCATGAAAAATGTAGACCTAACGACGCACGTGCTTTAATTCCGGACAGTTTGATAATAGACTTCGTGGACCGTGGTGTGCCATAGGTATAGTATGGTCATGCTGATCGGTGCCCTACTGACTGTCGGTGAATTTTACTATCGTGTTTTATTCTGTTAGGGTGTGATTTCGGACGAGGACTTGCCGTTGCACTTCAAGTAAGCGCATTTGCATAGTTATATAATGAATTTCTTCCAGAAAGCTGCAAAATCTAGATGGGAAGACATTCGAGCAATGCCTCGAAAGCACACCACAGTTTCGTAACCCGGATGGCTTACGAGTCCTCTGTTCTCGGTTCGGAATCCCGCGCGCGTCGGCCTGTAGTCTTCTTCTCTCAATGGCCAAGTAAGCAGCAGTTTTTATGCTCGAGTGCACCTTGTTTATCGGCTCAATTTGGTTGGTTCTCAGTGTTTTTTTTTCGCATTGTCTTTCTAGGATCAATCTGCCCAAACCCGAGATGGCCTGCGAACTTCGGCGTGTCCAGCTCTACAACCTTTCCATGAAACAGTTAGTATAAACCGCACTAAATTTTATCTTTAGTATTGTCGCTTATTCCATTTCACTTTTACGCCGACCGAATGATTCATTACAGCCTTGTCAAATACCGAGACAGTTGCCATCTGGGATTTCGAAATTGGTCAATAATGATTGTCTAACACGTCGAAGTGACTAACGCTGTCTGAGAGCACCTAGATCAACACTGTTATGTTGTACTTCGTGCTGCGCTCTGCACGTTAGGACATCTCGCCTACCACGTGCCTTACCTCGAATATTGAATGTTCACACCTTCAGCTCCACCGGAGCAAAATTAACAAAAGTCTTATGATCCATTCTGCAAAAATCATACATCTGGTGATTCGTTTTAACATCATGGCCGGGACTTTAGTCGATTCCACTTCACCTTTTTATCCAATTTCGTGATCACCTCACCTGTGATGAATTGTGAGCCGAGTTTCACGCCCTTCTCGCCTCCCACCCTCGTCGGCTGGTCGATGGCGGCTCGAAGGTGTGTGTGAAATACCGCTCGAAGCGATTCTGAGGTGGTGATTTTGTTACTGTCTTTTCATGGGTAGTCAGTAGTGGGCAGTGTTGAGCCGATCCCAAACGACAACCGAATTTGTGCGTGTCTCAGTGGAGACAGCTGCCTTATGCCGCATCAACCCTTGTCCCCAGAGAGTTGACTTTGTCTTCCGCAACTTCTTTCACACCACGCCGTGACACGCTTTTGAGCTGTCGTAACGTGTGAGGCTTCGACTGACGGGATACTTCGATCCTCCGCGCCATGGGTCAGGTTGGAGTTATTTCTTGTATATTGAGAGGGCAGCGCGTGCGTGACGCGTAAACTGGTGGGCTGATGAAGGATGTATCCAGTGTCGACCTCTGTTATCGTTGTGCCCAACGACGACATTCTTCGCCTGAACTAACTGAGACCAGTCCTTCTATTTCTTAATGGTTTCCATATATCCTCCAATTTCTAACTTACTCTCGCTTCACAGTGTTGCGCAGGGTGTCAAATATTTCAAAGAGGGTCGCAATACCGAGGCTCTTCAATGCTACAACTTTGCAATCGAAGTTGAGAGCTCTAACCCAGACGCCTACGTGGCTCGTGGTGCCCTGTAAGTCTTTGCCCACACTGCCTTCTTGTGTCTTCTCAGGCACTGGTCATAAGACTTCTGCCAGTGTTTTTATTCCACGATCTGTCGCTAACTTTTTTTCCTTCCGGACCAGGTACGCATCGATTGCCAGCTATCCCAAAGCCGTGGAGGACTTGGAAAAGAGCCTGCAACTGCAACCTAATCATGCTAATGCAAAGAACTACTTGGGCCAGACGCTTCTCGCCTACGCCTGCGAGTAAGTACTTTGGTGATAGTAAATCCAGGTACCTGCATGTGTCCCGCGTTTGGTCCTCACCCGACAAATAAATCATGTGTCAGAAAGTTTTCATGCATAATTTAGTAGCCTCTAAAATTCCGGATGTACTACAAAAAAGTCACCGAATAACAGAGTATTCGCCTACCCATCCATTCAACTGGCCGAAGGAAGCTCCGAATGGACGGATAGGAGAAGCTCCAGCATGGATTCGAGTGAGAGTCCGAAATGCCAGACTAATAGGGCTCTTGTTTCAGCGGTCGCCTCCCCTCCGCAACAAATAGGGGGTCACGAACAGGCGCCCACCCACCTTGGTGGATACATCTACATGAATACATTCTTCACCCATCGCAGAAGGGACTAGGGGGTGATGAGATACTACTTAATTTAGGCCTGCTTGTACTGTTAACCCATCGGCCGGACCTCGTCTACTGACCGCCTGCGCGGTGTGAGTGCGTTTGCCCTTCTGATCACAGGAATATAGCTGGTTCAAGAGAGCATAACTAAGTCCGAAACACCCGCCATCGCAGCTTCCCGTGCCTCCCTGTGTGCGTTTATTTTTGTTGAGTGCAGAATCTATGAACCTTCCAATTGTTGGGTAATGGCCGGTATTCAGTTATGCTATTTGCGACACAGCCACCACCCTTGAGCCTTTCGGTTTTGTCGTCGAATTCGCTGGCAGAATTTTCGACAGTCTCTGCTGTCTGTATGCTAACGGTCGTCAACTTTGGCCGGGAGAGTTAATTACACTGCGTCTAGTCTGGTGAAGGCCCACATTCTTTGTATTTGTGAAGTTCTCGCATTCTATCCTGTTGTCGCCTCTCCAAGGTCTTATCACCTCGTAACCTGGAGACATTTCTTTCTTTGGTGCGGACGAAGAAGACTCAAATTGCAGCCCAAGTATTTTGGCGGACGTTATACAAGAATTTTTTACGCTCAATCACAAAGACCACCTCGGTAGTCTTGGTGCCAATGCTGATAGGGCGTCTGACTGCCGTTATCACTGCTATTCCCTATCTTTATATGCAAACTGTAGCACCCATCTTCGTTTTTCGCATTTAGGGTAACAAATAAAGACCCCGCCAAGGCTGAACAACTTCTGAAGCGGGCACTGAAACTCGATCCCGACAATCAAGAGGCACGTGAGGCGCTTAGAGATCTTCCCGGTTCCGGTGGGCGCAGCCTCGATGTGAGTCTGTTTTTCGACTGATTTCAGGCGCGTTAGTTTGCCCCGATTTCTATGTTTTTCTGCTTGGGCGCCTCGAGATTGACTAATATTTGATTTTGTCTTCTCCTAGCGTTCATGGTCGCGCTCTCCTTCGCCCGCTAGGAAGCCTGGCTACGGAGGCCCAAAAGCGCCACCTGTGGAACGACACGGGCGTCCACCTCTATCACCCCCTGGACAGATCGCTGCCGGTGGCGGTAGCGAGACTGTTTCTTCGCACATGGAGCGGAGCCGGATCGCTTTGGAGCAGCTTGTTGAAGAAGATCGATCAAGGAGGGCTGCTAAGGAGCCAGTGGGTCGCCGAAATGATCGTAGCAGAAGCCCAGACTTTTACTCTCCTCCTTGTAAGTTTGACACATTTTGAGATACATTTTATCTCACCAACTTTTTTGGTCAGACCAAAAAGTCACTTTCTGCTGCTGGCGGTCTGTTCTGACTCCGCCTATGAATCTTGTGCTATTTCAAGTCATCTCAGCCCATCCACCATGTTGAGAATTCTTACTGATTAACAAGACACAACGGTAGCCATTTCTGGGTAAGATGTGGTTATGCAGCCCCACCTGATAGACACTACTGCTGGAGTTAGGGCTTAGGGCAACTATTTATCAATCACGCAAAGTACAACCGCACATTCCCAATAGCTTTTCTTTTGCATATGACTACTTGCCCTCGTCGCTCGTGCGTTCCCTGGCGCCACCAGTAAAAACCACCTCCATTACCACCTGTCCTGTATTGTAGGTGACTGGGGTTTAGTTGCTTCAAATGGGGCTACATAACCACATCTGACCCATTTCTGGCTCCCCTGTCCTTATCAACTGACCTTACATTCCAGCTCTAGCCGCTGCGCCCAAGTCACGTCGGCCAAGATTGGCCGTTTGTAACACGGTGATTATGTGCTAGAACGAGAAGCGGTCCTTTTTGCATGGTATCGTTGCCGACACACCAGTACATCCAACACAATCACATCTCACTATAACAAATCTGAGGCGCTTAGAGTCGTGGTTTGAAAGGTCCGAGGGGGCGGGGAGCTAATTCAGTCCTCAGTACGGAGTCAGGCTGCAATGGTTCCTTAGTGTGGTATTTATGGCACTCACTTGCGTGAGATCTGAGTCGCTCTCGTGAAAGCCCGGTATTGCCGGTCTCGTCGCCTGCGTCGTATTGCACGCTAAGACACTGCACCCGAGGGCTCCAAGGCAGAGCGGAATAGCCCATTTCCGTCCTGCATTCAGGATAAGTCGGTGCGCAGGTACCTGCCAAAACACCTATGAATCCCATGAAACTGTCTATGTTATTTCCCGGGCGATCATGATTTAAGTGCGGGGGTGGGTTTTGAAGCTTCTCTGCATGTTCGTTGCCTGCGTGCACTTACATCCTTGTGGAGACGGCTGTAATTACTTAAATTTTTCCAACAGACGACCTTCAGTAAAGTCTGTTAAGTGGGGTTCGACGAGGACTGTCACGCAGAGATCACGGCTGTGACTTAAGCTTTCTGAGGACTTCAAAAGCATCCGCTGCACTTTCTACCCACTCTCGTCATGTTCCGATGACAAGACAGTCGTGATGACTGGAAGTGGTGGTGGGCGCAGTGACTGACGGGGCTAGGGTAACGACTGCGTGCATACGTGCGGGTCTCAAGCCCCTGCTGGGGACTTCAAATGTTTCAGGGGTGCCATAAAGGCCATATTTTGGATAACACCGCATTCCGTCTCGATCCGGAGTGGTGCCGAGTTATTCGGTCAGTTCGTAACCCTCGACTGGTAGCGTGTCGCAGTGATTTTTAGGCATATTCGGTCATTTATGGCAGAAAGGACTAGGCTGAAACAATTTCACTCCTTTTCCGTACCAGCGACAAGTCCAAATCAGAGTGATTGCGAATGAGATTGGACTCGGTGGCCAATCCCAAAATCCTGGCGAGCATTCACATCGACTGTCATTTTCGGTGGTAGCAAACTCCACTGCATAATTGTTATGTGAATTAGTGCTTCAGCCATTATTCTAGTGTGGGACAGCATCTATTCATCTGACGCCGGAACGTGCTGGGGCGGCAATGCCAACTTGATGAGTGTTAGTCAGGACCTCTAGCAGTATTCCTTCGGTCCAGTTGTGATTAATTCACCGGTGTTGGACTAGATCGGTAATTTATGTTTGGCATGCCACATGGCGGTTGTCGAGCAAGTGGGGCATATCCGGCTGTGGAGTTGTGGCTAACTCTGCAGCAACATAGAAGGGAGCAACGCAGCAACAACCCAGCTTCCGCATTTGTCACATTTTGACGCCCCATGGATTGTGCCTCACGCTTTTGGTCTGTTAGTTATTGGAAAAGGCTTGGTTGCGTAAGCAATCTGTTATCAAAATAGTCGAATTTTAAGGACTGTCGTTTTTACGAATAGTTTTTATCTCATCTTCACAGAGCTACTAGTTGTCTGTCCAGCTCCAGTCTAACTTTTCTGTGAGCCTTTCGTTCACCGTTCCCCACTCCATCCATCCATCCGCACCTTCGCTTGATGTCGGCGTTTTTTTGTCATCTTGTGTGAGAATCATCAGCTTTTCAGTGCTTCCTAGTTGGATACCACGCAGTTGCCTTGACCCCGCTGATTCATACTCGACACATCAATTCTATGCCTCCGTCTTACGTGCTGCTTTAGCTTAAAAGAATTTAATGTTTCCTCTTGTAGCTCGACGCGGTGGCGACGACAGGTTCCGTGATGAGGTAATTTGTACTACTGCAGTTTGCACCTTTGTTAATACAGTAGTATTGCTCTTTGCAGATAATGTTTGCGTGTGCAAATGTCTGTTTCCTCAGAACTATCGCATGAATCTTTTCTCGTCCTTTACATTTTTAACTAAACAGGGTCTTGGTCTGTCGTGTCATCGCCCGACCTACCTTTTAAACCTCGTCCCCTAAATTATCATGTCAGCAGCTGTCTTTGAAATTTATAGTTGTAATGGCAATACAGTGACTTACTGGAGAGTAGTACATGAGAGTCACAGGATGCAATTGAACGTCAGGTGCGATACCACTTCAGGACAACCTGTTTGGACATCTTGGCTTCTACAGACGACCTCAGCCGTAAATATTCCCTCACCTGCGTCCACATTGTTCACACTACCCGTCTTTTTTCCAGGCCAAACCGAATTCTCGCTGAAGGGCAGAAACCAATGACTATATTATTTATAAGTGCACGAGGGCATTTGCAGAGTACTCGTCGGTACACTTCCACATCGCTGAACTAGTTTTACTAATGTGAGTGGGTAGCGCCCCTTGATTAACTGGGATCACAGACGACTGAGCTCGTCTGAACAAATTTTCGATCCTTACAATAGTCTTGGTAGGACGCGCATATCCTGTGTAGATACCGCCGGCGACGAAGTTGAGGCCACTGTTTTGTTGAGCTGGTGTTTCCTAGACAGCCCAAGCCATTTCGTTCAGCACACGGTTGACAATTGCTAGCAGCAGACATTTTTCGGTGCAACGAAGCTGGATGGACGTCTTTGTCGGTATTTACCTGTCATACTTCGTACCGTCATCTCACTCCCATGTGTGTTCGTTTTCCTTTCAGCCAAAACCCTCAAGCAGAGGCCCCGCAAGTGGTATGGACAAAGGCGACTTAGCCAAAATTGTCATTACGCGGAATATGGTAAGCTTTCTGTCCGGCCTTTGTGTCCCCCCAACTGTGAGTTTGTGAGGCATTTTACGTGACCTTTCGCTCACTCTGATTTCTCTGCCCTTCTAGTCCGGTCGTACTATTCGTTGCGAAAACGACGGCGGATGGCAAGATATGGAACGAGATAATCGAAGGTAATTCCGCGTCAGCTGCATCTGTGAAATAAGTTTCAGTGATACCGGGGTCAAGTGAATATTGTGCGTTTAGTTTTCGTAGAAATAACCGAGAAGTCGTGTAAGGTCGTTGGAATGCGTTCCGCACATTTGGACTTGTTGTCCATTATCAAGTCATGAGGACTCGCAGAATATTACACTTGCATGCTATACAGTGGGGTTCGGTTTTTTCTATTGTTGGCGATCCGGGTCGGACCCCCCACGTGTCTGTTGTTTGGCTTCTTTGGTGGCCTAATTGTGTTTAGTAAATTCGCCTGCGTTTGTGAGGGCCATTGTACTGTTCCCGCACCGTAGCCAACCGTTGGAATGAGTTTGGGTGTTGGTTTTAATGTTCCTCTTTCTCCTCGACTGTTAGGCCCTGCCTGCAGAAAACGCAACCAGGGTGCTTCTGAATCTTCCATCTATTGTGATCACACAGTTTCATCTATCTAGTTCGGACTTCCACTGCACGCTTAGTTGTTCAGTTAGGTTTTTGACTGAGTTATTTGCACATCAATCCCTACAACAGTCTTTTAAACGCCCTTTAGGAGAGACGACTTCAAAAATTCTGGCGACAGAGAACTTAGTCAAGGTACGCCGTCATCCACTTAGTTCTTTTCCGCCCCGACTTGTATTCTGACTCTTTTCTATTCCCCAGTGTCTATTTCACATTAATCTCAGACTTACTGAATATAACTCAGTCGCTTTCTGTCGGTCCTTGATCGAGTGCTTTCCTTCTAGGTCGAAGTCAGGACCAGCGTGATGATCGACAACTCCCCCCGGATCAGTACCAGTATGATCGGCGGGTGAGTTTCTTGGGGACGCCGCCCTCCTGACAGTCAGTGGAGCAGTAACCCAACTAACTTATTCCATTATCACTAACCCTCGTAATTCAGCTGGGTGTTTCCCCAATCTCCATCTTTGTGCCTTTGGTTTTAACCTCCTGTGCCGGTTTCTTTTGAATGATCCATCTAAACTATGTCTCGGATTCCAAAATACACCGTATTTCTGATTGAAAATCAGAGCTGCCATAAGTCTGCCACGGATCCGATCCCCATGCACAGACGGTTAGCCTCGCAGACCCGTGGAAATCTGTTTCTACGGAAATTGTGCCTACTTTTACTTGCGTTTTTTTTCACAACCATTTGGACAGGTTTATACTCCACCAAAAGATGCCAAGGAAGTGGAAAATGGGGTCCTCACACGTTACACCAACGAGAGTGATCTCCCTATGACCTCCAAAACCCTGCAGGCACGCGTCCAGCAGCGTCTGAGGGACATTGAGCGTCGCCACCGCATGGAGCTAGGTGGTAACGGTCCTCCGGGTGCTGACGGACAAGGCCTATCTCCTCCCGGTGGACCCATGCGAGGCAACGGTCCCTGGCGTGGTCGTGGTGCTGGGAGTGGGGGTGGTGATATGGGTCGCCGTGGGATTGATGACAGACGTGGCGGTCCACCTGGAGACGACAGACGCGGAGGCGATGACGATAGACGGGGTATGCCCGGCCAGTACCGCAACGACTTCTATCGTGGTGGTGGCAACTTCTACGGCCGCGCTAGGGGTCGCGGAGGTCCGCGTTGGCGTGGACAGTGGGACGACTGGAGATCTGGGGGTAATCGACGTGGTGGCAATTGGTACGGCCGTGACAACAGGTAGATGCCTGCTAACCATTTGATTGTTAATGTCGGTAGGCTCGCAGTTCCTGTACACTAACGCCCGCCCCCCTGCTGTTGACATCCACTTGTACAGATACAGTGATAGAAGAGACATGGTTCCCGGGGATGATCGCAGAAGACGACGATCGCGATACTCCCCCAGCGCGGGTGGTAGTGGGGGAGCTGACCGGTCGCGTTCGCCCTCATCAAGGTCGAAATCTCGATCGAGGCGTGGCAGCCAGTCGCGGAGTGCGTCCAGATCTCGCAGCAGATCACGAACACATTCTCGTTCCGCCCGTTCCTACTCCAGGTCCATTTCTAGATCTCCGTCTCCATTCCCTAAAAAGTACGTCATTGCCCTTTTTGCTCGGCTGTTTTTTCAGCGCCTCTGAAACGTCCAAGTATTTTAAGGGTAACACGATATTTGTGCTGTTTACATCACGAGAAACGTCAGGATCTTTCTTAAAGTCGAAGCTGTAATATTGTACAAAATGTAGCGCATGAAGTGAAATCCCCATGCATCCTTCACAGGAAATAGAACCGGACTCACCATTAAAATCAGTGTAAGATGTACACTACGTTGATGGTTGATCTTATTGCGCCGACTTTTACGGGATCTGGTGAGATTCCCAACTGAAAGCCAGCATGCTAACCTGTACTGTTTTTCTTTAAATTTCTCGCCGTGCTAGTCAATCTTGCAATTCTACTTCGGTGATTATTTCGCAAGTCTAGTTGAACCCGAGTCCCAGTCAACGGACGCTGTCTTTCACCGTAGGGTAGGGTGGTCAAAGCCTGTTCTGAGGCCTTGCCAGTCATCTCTGATGACCTTTTCTAATTCACAGAGTTCTTGTCTAGCGACTATCACTTGCACGAGCGAACTCCCATCGCCATGAAAAAACAGTTGGCAAATTTTGTTAGGGATATTTATCTCTGCTTGTCTGTTTCTTTCGACTGCATAGCAGCTCTGTGTCCAGGTTACGTGTAGAGACTCCAGTAATGTCGCCCTTTCCGCCCTCTCAAACCGTTCCACCTCAATATGACTGTCCATTTGATCTTTCAGACGAATTTCCCGCGCTCGCATAAGGACCCCACCGTTGGCGCCGTTGACCAATCCGCACAGTGACTCTGAAGAGCAGATGGCGGACGTGGAACAATTCGTCGCACAATTGAAAGCCAAGCGGCAAATGCAACAGGAGATGCAGGGTGCCAACCAGCAGTCAGCCCCCGCAGGACCCCTCATCGGTCCCCAGATGCCGGCCTCCATGGAGACCGGTGGTGGTGGTGGTGCCTCAACGGAAGACGTGGCACCACCTAGCCCAGACGCGTGAAAGCGCGCTGAATCTTTGTGCGTTCCGCATTTGCTGTCCTCTGCCGCGCCCCACTGAACTATCACGGATTTTTAGTGCGGATGCATTTCGTTTTTTACGAGCATTATTCAAATAAAGTAAGTGCCAAGAGATGGAGGCTTGCCTTACTGTTCTCCTGAGCCAACTCTGTGGTCGATCAAATAGCGCCTTGTTTCGGTACTTTCATGCGGTTTTGCCGGGATGCGGAGGGAGTATTCCACACTGATCCCTTTGGGATATAGTTAGTCGCTAGTGGTTTTGGCATTTGTATGCGTGTTTTGTCACTGGGTGCATGGCTTATTCTTCGAGAAACTACTCGATTAAAGTTTACAATATGGTCTGTGTTCGTTGCTTCTCACTCTCTTCTCTTAGCAACTGTAAAATAATATGGACGCCTAGGTTCTTACGTCGTAATCTATATGGTTTCCCGTTAGTTGCCCGCACTTATCCTGTAGGTTGTTCCAAGTTTGTAGAAGGCCTCCCGGTAATCTGGTTGTTCTGTGTGCTAGGCTGTGACGTGGGATCGTGACTTTGACCCTCAACACCACAAGTGTTTGCCCTCCAACAGGCTGTTCAGCAGGTTACTCGGTCGTTTTGGGCACAAGTTTATGTGCCGATAGGAGTCGGAGTATGCTTCCCCGAAGGCGTTCATTGAAATAACTGCGAATCTGAAGTAGGTGTCTCAGTAAGTCAAACTCGGCGGAGGCATTTCCCGGCTGTGGAAATAGTATTTCCCTATATCCGACTCGCAAGGCAAACCCATCACGGACTGGGCTGCGTTTCTGCTAAGGCTGAGGGGAGGCAAACCTCAGCCTCAGGTGGTTGAATGCAGTGAGGGCAGTTCTCGCGCAGATTTGTCTTTCTTCGCATTCATCCCCCCACACCCCGCGCCGCGGAGACTTGCCATTTTGAGACAGTCCGCCTTCGTAGCTGCTTACCAATGTTGACTTCGGTTTGCTGGGCACGCTTGTCAGTCGCTGGTTGCGCGCGTTTGACAGGTACCGCCTCGCTGACACCGTAGCACTGATCGACATATCTCTCTTCACCGATTGGACGCGGCCAGACGACGTTCAGGTGCATGCCCTTCGACTACCACTTACCTAGTGAGTACGCATGCGTTAATTTCTTGTTCAGCTGCGCGCACACTTTCTCGCCTCGATAGAAGAGTGTATATCTGTCCTCTGATTTCGGCACCTCCGAGTAGTCTACGTCACACCTCGACAAGTTCAGTGTCTACCCCTGCATCTAAGCAAATTGAACACTGAACGGCTGCCGAAGAGATCACTGATGTAATGAAGGGCCATACTCAGACACGTATACCCGGCACTTGATTTAAGCCACGGCCAGACGACCAGCTGCCTACTTCGAGAGACAACTGAGTGTAACAGATGGCCTTGTAGAAGCGAAGGGGCGAGTCCCAGGGAGTAGGCTTTAAGAAGGAGACATGATCACTGGAAAAAGAGCTTTATTGACCTGACGTTTCGGATTCCCGCTCGAACCCATCATCAGAGACAAAAGCAGATACGGGCGGTTCATGCACAAGGGACTGCAGTATTTATAGGGTGCAGTCGCCATGCTACCGCATGCCCATGAATATTCACGGCTCTACCCCCTTATCAGGGATCGTCGCACTCGGTGTGCTGGCCATTTGATGGCCGACATTCGCGTCGTTAATTGCTGCAATTTCATCACGTGCGTTGGATGTTGGCGTGATGATTGCTGGACCATCTGATCTACCGACCCTGGCGTTGAGAACTGTGTTCACCTGTGCGCTCCTCGTGTGGTTACTTACTCCGTCTAGGCTAAGTCTCAGCACCGAGTATAGAATGGGAAGATTATTGCACTTGTTAATGGAATGGAGGACCAGTAAACCAAGACTCAAGCAGCACCCGGTTCGAGCGGTTGTCATCTCCAGTAAGAATTTCGGCCTCATCGAATTTGAATGTGCGGCCGGATCTGGTCGAATGAACCGCAAGTTGAGAGTTGACGTCATTTCTCCGCACTGCTGCCGCGTGTTCGGCCATTCGCGTTTGGAGCTGTCTTCCGGTTTCACCGACGAAGTTGTTTTGTCCGCAACTGCACCAGATCCGATAAACGACTCCAGACGTTTCTTGCCGTGACAGCGGGTCCTTCTTTCGGTTTCATTACCTGACGTTTGACGGTCGCCATGCATGTTTGCGTATCAGCATCCAATCTTCCGCCAAATTGCCTAAACAAATCTTGGGCTCGCGTGGGCCTTCCTGGACGCCTTTGGATTCGAGAGTCATTGCCAACGATGGCCGATCTGAAGAAGGAGACACGTTCGCTGTGACAAGAGCTTTATTCGCCTGACGTTTCGGTGGATCGAGCAATCATCACATCAACACCCAACGCACGTGATGAAATTGCAGCAATTAACGACGCGAATGTCGGCCATCAGCCATCACACCAAGTCAAATGATCCCTGATGACGGGGGGATCCGTGAATATTCATAGGCATGCGGCAGCATGGCGACTGCATCCTATAAATACTGCAACCCCTTATGCATGAACCACCCGTATCTGCCTTTTTCTCTGATGATGGGTTCGAGCAGGAACCCGAAACGTCAGGCTAATAAAGCCCTTGTCCCAGCGATTGTGTCTCCGGCCCAAGCGACGACGTCCACCGCGTGCAGAACCGGGTGAATTGGGAGGCAGATTTTCGCAGGATCAACCGCATCGTCCCATCCCTCATCCACTTTTCTGCGATGGCAAGATAGTGCGAAGACGACCAGAGGTGGGCGCGGGCGCAGCCGACTGACATGCTTAGACAGCCTATCTGCCTGGTCTCCACAATGTGTGCCCGAATTTCATGAGCATGGTGGCTCTGACCTGACACCGGTGAGAGCGTCATAAAGCCACATTGACCAGGTGACTATAACCATCGAGGGTACGCCCACACATGATCCCAAAATCAGATGGCTGGAGGAGTTTAAGTCGTAGGCAGACCCTAACGACTACGACCTTCAGGCCCCGGGTCCCGAATAGAGATGTTGGGCCTCGGTGGAGGAGGGGGTGGCATTCCACTCTGTACTGAATGGGTTGGAGTGAACTGTCCACCGGACGAGTGAGGTACATCCGGCGCCGCCAGAGCAGTCGTCCGCGTCGGAGCGTCTTGAGTGAGGGCATGTCTGTGTCGGTCTGGGTGGCTGTGATTAGCCGAGAACTAGGCTGCCGCTGGTACGCGCGGGAAGGGCTCAGTGCTGTGACAGGCGTCTGGAGTACGGTCATCACAAGACCAAATACCTCAAAAAAACCTGCGAACCCAACCTGTACCCTGAACCAGTAAGAATGCCCTACATTTGTCATTCACCTAAACGTGATACTACCTCTATCCACTGTCGTGTCGCGCTACAGCGATGAAACTCAAGCATGGTTCGCCGTCAGACCCCCTCCCCTTACCCAAGCTCCTGACAGAACCAACATGTCTGAACACCCACTCCCCCATAACCACTGTTCATTGGCTGCCTTGACTTTCACTGCTTTCATATTGACCCAACTGTGTAAAACTCGGCGCCTCGGTGGGGTTCGAACCCACGCTGCTTTGCTCTAACTTATGCTACTGTACCGGCGCGAGGATGACTAATTTAAAACCTTTCACCGAACTTGGCCACTTCCATGTTCTTGAATTTGAGTAAACTGCACTTGATAAGTCCGAAACCCGGCAAGGAAACAGCACTGGTTAGGTTTTATTTATATCCGCAAAAAGCGGTCGCAATAACGCCATTGTCGGCAAGGCCTTTCTGGAAGCATATGAAGGAGGGTTAAAAATATATGCTACTGAAATTAGGTACAAAAGTAAAAGGAGTTTCTTCGAGTCCTAGAGCACAGTGAAAAGACGAGGCTGTCTGGGACAGGGGGGAAGAGGGGGCCGTTTGGGGGTGAGAAGTGCTGTAAGCTTTCCGGTGCTGGAGTTGGCGCCTAGCTCGTCCACTTCCTTGCAACTCACTGTCCGAACACTTCCGTGCTTACAACTGTAAGGCAAAAAAAATGGAAAACAGATAATGTTCGCAGTTCTGGAAGGATTTCTGACAGAACGCCCTGTCGGCGCATCGTCTTGACGTGCACTCTGTCGTCAACTGGCTTTATCGCGAACTACAAGCAGCTTAGCGCTGAATTGCCTGATCGGACGGCGCTTAGAAACGCACCGGAGGTCTCGTGACAGGGTCCGCCCTGGATCTGTGTTTAGTCACCGTAAACTAATCTCCTAAATACTTGCCATGTTACACAATTACGCCACTGGATGTGGGGGGTGAGCCTTGAAGCACAATGAAAAACACCTTTTAGGGGGCTCCTCTTATTCGGCAGGCATTTCGGTTGGTTGTCGTGCAGTGCCTCTACTCATTTGGTAGAAAATCACGTCTTCTTCCAATCTTATACTCGAAGGAAGGGTATTATTCGGTTTTCAAAAACTTTTCCAATTCCCGAATAATTTTGAACGCGCTCAACCGTTACACTTGCATTCAAGGTTTCCAAACTACAAGCCGTATTTTTTCCGCGTACGGAAAAGTACACATTTCTCTACGGTACTAAAGTGGGACCATATAGGGTTCATAAAATTTAGCAGTGGATTTGATCCATATTGTTAACTTTACAAGCCACATTGGTAAATGCAGAGTTAAGACGATTTATGAACGGCCATTTCGCGGTATTTAAAAGTCCCACAGTTAGAAACTTTTAAAACCGAATTATGTCCCTCCTTCGAGCATAAACTTAGAAGAAGACGTAATTATCTACCGAATGAGCAAAAGAATGAATATTTTTATGCACCCTGGTTCTGTGTTTAGTCACCCTAAACAAACCTAACCGCTTGCCATGTTACACAGTCACGCCACTGGATGTGGGGATGAGCTTTGAAGCACATCGAAAAACCTTTTGGGGGGGGGGGGCTCCTCCCATTCAGCATGCATTTCGGTTGGTTGTCATGCCGTGGCCTTACCCCGGGCGCCTATTATAACGTCTCG